CTCCTTTCAGTGGTAAAGACATTTTGCAGTAATTGCATTATATCCATCGAGCAAGGGCAAGATAATGTCAAAGTCTAACTGGCACTGCGGCGCACTTTGACAACGCCTTACGTCCACCTATCCTACCTACTTGACCGTCAGTTTAACCCATAACGGACGGCCAGTGTATTTTGCGTGCGCCACCATGTGGCGCACGCCGCCACCCAGGGTAGGGTTTATGTAGGCTTATGTGAACAGCAGGGGTAAGACGGGGCTAAAGTAGGTGTCGGAGTCTCATCATCCGAAAAAAGAGATTTCCGTTGACGACAAGTTCGTAGCCCGCCTTTCCGCTCTAAAACTAGGGTGCAAAGAATGAATGGAAGCTGTAGGTGACATTATCGAAAAATGCGAAACAACAACCCCGAGCAAGGATGTGGCTATATTTAGGGGAAGGGGTCTCGGGACGTGCGAACCATGGGTAAGCCACCCATCAAATAGTAAACTTATGTAAATTAAAACAAAATTTATTGTAGGTTTGTCAAAAATCCAGCCGTCCAGGTCCTGGGAAGATATGTTATTCCACATTGCTGAGAGTATATATGGGTATATTAAGATTGCTAGAAACATTCCAAAAACAAAAGAAATAGTCGTGCGCCACCTTGTGGCGCACGCCGTCCGTTATGGGTTAAGTTATTAGCGACCAGCCTCCGGCTTTCAAAACTTGATCTGTTAGACAGATACCCGATGAGTCTGTCGTCTGCATAGATTTATCTGTTATCTTCACGTTCCAGAGGATTTTGCTGTTTGCATCCAAAGGTTCGACGACTCTTGATCATTCCTAGCACAAAACTCTCCAAGATGAAGTGCATTTCTTCAATATTCTACCAGAGTGGTCCCGGAAACCGCCGGAATCTCCCTACTCTACGTAATCTTTGCTTTCCTCTTCTGACCTTGTTTCCCTTCCTCCTCCATTGCTCTCCTGGCTGACTTGTGGAATGACCGAAAGTGTGCTAAGTAGGTGTTTATATAGCCGTTGGGTGTTATCACAATCATGCCATTGCAAAACATTGATAGGCAAGTCCTGCGAGCTACCCAGATTTGTTAGCGGCTTGTTTATTCCATTAGCTGCCTTATCACTCACTTCATTTTGCGGACGGACAGACATACATACATACAAACCGACACACCAAGTTAGCGGTTTATATAATAGAAGGATACATATAATCGAATGAATATTGAAGTGGAAACACGTGTCGGTTAGGGTGAGCCAACGTCGTGACGCTGAAGCAACTGGAGCTAGGTTCGTGAAACTCGTCCATCACGCCCCTTTTTGATCCCAAGGTGATCGCGGCTGAAAGAAGGAGAGCGTTGTCTACTAGGGCCTCATGGGATGTTTCTTCGCTAATTCTTCTTATCCAGACCACCTCCCACGTATAGATTCATAACTGAAACCTTTTTCACACCTATTTTTATCCCGAAGCTTGCCTTTACACGGGGGCGCAGGTTTCTGTCCCCTTCTGAAGCACATTGGAAGTTGGATTTTGAGAAATCATGAGAGATAATATATAGCACCATCCACCTACCATACATCTCCGAGCTTATTGGGGCAGTGGTGCAGTTGCAAGTCCGCGATCTCCAAGAACCTATGAACCGTGCCTGGGAGTCGTATGAGCTAGATTTCCTCGACACTTGATTTATCCTGGTCGACGCTTCTCTCAGAGCACTGTACCAATGGTTTACATTAGGGAACGAAATTTCCGACCATGTGGTTCCCCATATGAGAAGCATCCTTTTCATTATTCCATGAAATGTGTATATTTTGATCATCAAACGCAGGAACAAACACTAGGTGCTCCAGCGAGTAATCAATTCGAGTGATTTCATCTCACGAAAATAGCTCGGCGGATCGGCTTTGTTCCACTCATCCGCGCTAATCGCTTAGTCTCGGAAATCCAAGTGCCGTGCATGAACCTACTCCACTTCCAAGAAAACATATTAGAAAGACTATCTTATGCTGAAATTTATGCCATAAAGGTAGCATTTTTGTTATGAAATCATTTACCTGTATCACCTGTCGTCCCGTTGATCGTCGAATTGCTCGAGCGGGCGCCAGCAACGTCTCCATTCGTCCCTGTCGCGTGCTAGAGTGGTCCAGTGGATCCTCCTCGCTCGAGGGACACGAAGCCTTCATTCCTTTCGTTCAGAGCTTCTCGTCAAATGAAATCATTTGCTTGCGATTATATAGAAAATGATAGCTTTATGTGGCGCACTACTTCATTTAGATATGTAAATGGACCATTTATTGTTCTCTCCTGCGAATCTAGCGCTTTGATAGTAGGACTATTGAATTCACAAGAAAGTAAAAAAAAAACGAAGAAAAGAAAGGAGAAAATCTCACGTAGCGTCGTGCGTCACAAATACAATTATGTGAGTGGAACAGTCGAGCTACCTTCTCTTGCTAGCAAAGGCAGTATTTTCAAAGTATTTTCGAGTTATTTTAATCGATCTGAAACTTTTGTTAACCATTCTTTGATATATACTCTTATAACAGGCCACTCTAACCTGTCGATTAAGATTAATTAAGAAGAATTGCTTTGATTTACACAATTTAGAAGCCGCAAATTGATAACATGATCACATCATTTTATCAGTCATATTTACAGCTACATACTTTTAGTTGCTCCTTTTACGATTTCTTCAGTGTTAAAAAACCTCAAATCTCATCCTTAGTCGGACACCCTTTGTTGTCGTTCTCACTGAGCAAAAGTGTATGACCGGAACTCATATCGTACATGTTCCATACTCCCTTTATATTCTTAGCACTGGGAATGGGAATGGTGTCTAGGTGATGTCTGGGTCTCTCGCGCCTCATCAGGAAAGTCAGTTCAGGACGTGGGCACTTTTTCATAACGAGTTTTCGCGTGTTATAGGGGCAGTGGTGTAGTTGCAAGTGGCACGGTCCGGGGATCAAATCCTGGGTCGTGAGTCGCCCGGGCCAACCAAGCCTTCCATCCCTCCGGGGTCGGTTAATTGGTACCAGACTTGTCTGGGAGGATAAAAACACTGACTTGAACATCGGCTGGCCCCCGCAAGTCATTGTATAGGCCACATCGCATTCAAATGCCACTACGAATGTACAAATGGAAGTAGAATGCGTGCCGCATCCCAAAAAGGGATCAATGGCAAATGCTTTATCCTTTAGTCTTATAGGGGCACATGCGTGGAGCATAGAACTGATGACAAGTTTTCTGAGCACCTAGGGTTACAGAAAAAGAATATGAAACTTCTCCTACATAGCGAAACATTCATTTTTATTCTACTGAACACCATTTTTACCATTGAATGCTGCATTTTGGCTTTTATTCACTAAATGAGTTTAGACATATACGAGCACAGCAAAGTGGAATTCAATTAGACCAGATGTATCTTTCGACATTCGCATTCTTAGAGAAAATGATTTTCGATTTTCCCACACGCTACTCCTGTAACATGCAAAAATATTTTTGAAAAAGTGTTCCACGTCCTGAAACCCTTTCCTGGTCAGTCCTAATTTACTTTTTCCTCGTCGAAGTTTCTTATCTCACAGAGGACTTCTTCCATGCAAGGAAGTACAAGTCCCCAAATTAGATTTTGACTTCATTTCTGCTGTTTCCGGCCGATTCCTTACCTCCTCCACGATCCTGGCCCAGCTGACATTTACAGTTTCCTATTTGAGTCACATTAAGCCGGTCATCGGATGTTTACCGGCAGGTTTCGATAAGAATGGACCCACTTTATCTGCATTGATATCTACTGGCATTTTAAAGTCATTCGAATATGAAAAAGTATCTACATACTTACAGAGTGGGGCAAATGAAACACCACTGCTGCACCAATATTTTGTTGGCATTTCAGGACTAACTTCTTGGAGTCAATTCAAGCCGTGAATCTTATTTGTAGAAAAGATGACAATTCAAAACATATTCAACAGTTTCAAAATGATCGTCTCTAGCCTTCATACAGCTTTTTTAAAACTTTGGTAGAAGCAAATCATGCGGCATGCTGATATTCCATCCATTTTGTTGCTTGATTAAAAGCGCACTTATGGGATTATGAGAATTTGGGCATTTGATAGAGGAGGCTTTGCTCTTCAAACTGCCCTAACTTGAAAATATTCAGTCTAATCTGAAGAACAGTACGGTCGTTCGTTGAAATTAATGATGTCGAAATCTGCTCGGCACTCAGTCCCTGAACCACTCCCGATCAGTGTTCTGGTCCAAAGCCTTTTGATTTTATCCCTAAATCTCTCTAACGTGAACAAATGGTTCCGAACAAATGTCGAGTTTCAGCATTATTCGAATAAATTTTATATTTGGGAATTTGAAACGCATTCGTACATACACGCCAAGCACCATTGATCGGAAGGTGAATGTCGCTGGTGCAATTACCTCTTGTGGCACTATATTAAATGGTTCCCATCATACCACTGTCGTGAGGCAAGGCCTACCGTCGCGTTTGCACGGTCGGAATTTTCACGAGCACTCCCATTCCCATCTCAATACCACCCTCACCAGAATGGCTGTTTCAAAACTATTTGATTCTGTGACTAGTCGCCACCCTCCAACCTCGCCCATTTCCCATCCAAAATGGTCGTCGAGCAGCGGGAATAATCCAAGTTATCCTATTTTAGGCATCGTTCGCGAAGTTTTTATCAATCGTCAAAAATCTTGAGTGACCTTTTCAGACTTCCACAAATACGTCCTCCTCCCGAAATCGCGGCTGACTTCGGGAGGAGGACGTACATATTTGTGGAAGTCTAAGGGTCACATTCATGTCCACAAATTTTTAACGGTATCTTTTCTCTCTGAATCCTTATCGATTTTGAAATTGCATATTGTACCTGGCAAACGCCGTTTACAATCAGTAACAGCTTTTATCAATGACAAACATTTGACATAGGTTTGGCAACAATTCTTACACTGACCGGGAAGATCTGATCGCATTTGGTTCGAGATCACGGGTATTGGAGAGGATACTCACCAGTGGTCAGAAGAATGGTGTTGATTGTGGCGGACTGGGAAGTAGAGTTCGTTATTTCCAAAAATTTCCATCATGGCATACGTCACCCTGAACACCAACACAATTTCGCCTTTAAAGAGCATCCTCCATTCCATATAGGAATTTCCATTTTGTCAACGTTATAATACCCGTGGCTGTTTAATAGAAGAGTCCTACGAGGGAAGCCAATCGCGGTGATTTATTCATTTCAACAAGTGGTCACCCTATCATTTTTTGTATGTGTGTACTCTTAACTTCTTCTACGACATATCTTGTCGAATCTCCTAGAGCACTACTGAAATTGGCACTTCACATTTTTTCTATGATTTCTTTCTCTTTTGCACACCGAGACTTGCACTCTATGGAATACCGGAATTCCGCGGAATTTAGCAGCAGCTTTTGCATAGTCTCAGTAACGCTCGTACCTGATTTCCACTTTCATTCCAAGAAATGCGTATCTTTTCATCTCGTTTTTCGTTTCGTCAGCACTTGTATTTGTTGGTCATCAGTTTCACAGAATCATGAACGCCGTCATTCATGCATTCGTGTTTTCAGATTACTTTACCGGAAATCGAGGACTACTCTGCTCAATGTAACTATGGCTGGTACGATAATCACTTCATACATTTTTAAGCATGAATTATACAAGAAAGGGGTGAACCTATATCAGCGGGCCAATTCTGCTAAACCGCACGCCACAATCAAGTTGGGAATGAAGGATGTCGCATGCGGGAGAGCACGGATATGAGCTTTTGAGGTCAATTTCTGGATGGAACCCCGCACTATGATGGGTTGAGTGTGACCATTAGCACCTATCGAGGATCATATCGTGTGAACGATTCCACTCGGTCTGTCGAATAGATTCCCAGACAACAACCACAGATGTAGCACGTTCACGGAAATCACCCGACAAGAGCACTACGGTCCTGCAAAGGGAGATGCAGCAGATACAGTTTCTTTTTTTATCAGGCTGTTGCCTGACGCCCTCTCAGCTTTTCCACTCCCGCCCAGGGTATTTTCGGGATTTTTGCGACCCCCTAGCTCTCGAGGGGGTCCAGTTGCGACCCCCTGTTTTTGTTAATAAGAGTGCTAGACATGAATCCGTTGCGCCAGAAAGCGTCTGCGCGTCGTCGCGTCGGCCTTGGAGCGCGGCAGGTATCACCCGGGCGCTGGAAGAACGGGACGCGGCGAAGAAAAAATTTTAGAGGGGAATAACTTTCTTGGGACGTATTTTTTGACTTGTTGAGGTAGATTTTGATTGTGCCTGAGGTGCGCTTCCAGAAAACTACAAGGATTGCCTAACTCTCCGGAAAGTACTTCTGTTAGAAGTGGAAAACCCAAAATTCTAAGAAGGCGCACCTTCAACTTTGAAGGCCCATAAAATCTTTCGTATGCGACATTTTGGAAATCTGTAAAAAGTTTCAGAAACTTCAAATATTTCTCTAACAAAACAGTATAAAAAGTTTAGTGATTGTCCCCTTTTTCAAAAAATTGTCCCGTTCGAACATTTTTCGTGCAAAAGCGAGTTTTTGGGCTTTCAGCGACCATAACTCACTTCATTTTCATTTCTGTGATGCACTTTTTTCATGGGGTGAAAGTACAGGATTTGCTCTTTCTAACAAGCACCAAACCGTTTTTCAAAGTTCATTTTTCCGAGAAAATCACACGTTCGAACATTTTGTTCCCATAGGTTTTTGAGCAGCACATGCGAGTTTTTGAGCTTTCAGCAATAATAACTTCCTTCAAAGAACTTGTTGGGGAGGGGCGAAGACATTTTTGAAGACTACGAGATTTCTGCTTTCTTATGTGTTTTACCGTTGTCTGGAAGAATCGTCCTCAGAAAATTAGGTCCCGAAGAACTTTAATTTCAGCCCCGAGAAGTCAAACCTTTCATAGGGATGCATTCAACTGTTCTTTATTCCTCAAGGAAAACACCGTAATTTGCCTAAAACTGTCTCTCTGTGCATAATAATCGAATCTAATGCGGTCTGCACAACAATTCTTGCCCTCGGATACGCCACGCACGCGCCTGTGGCTGGCAGTCCTCGAAATTGCGACCCCCTTCCGACCAAAATGCGACCCCTTCGTTCGAACAGTTCGAACGGACGGTTGACCCTGCTCCGCCTCATGCTCCCGTCACCGCCTTACATTCTCATTGCCTTAGCAAGCCTATTACGAAGGTGATTGAGTTCTTAACCTAGGCGTTTTCGACGAACTCTTCCTTTTTTCTTTACTACCTGCCCTTTGGCAATAAACATTCGTATTCATACGTAAGAATCACACCGATGTGATCTTAGGGTATGCCTTTAATAAGGATATTACTTTTTTTGCAAGATCTCTGTGAATAAACAAATTTTAGTAGTGACTGCAGATCAATATGTATCCTATCCTGTTAGCCTTATCTTTGATTCTCCAGAGCGCTGATTTTTAAGAAGTCAGAGGGTAGCTCATTTCGTAAAATACGATGAACCTTTTTTGCAGGATCTCT